CAGTGTTTCATAATGCTCAGCGTAGCGCTTCATTAATATTTTATTATTTTTGGTTTGAGAAGTCAACTGGGATGCCTCCTAAACTTCATAGCATTTATTCTTATTCTGCATTTATATTGATTGGTGATAATTTAGCTTTGCTATTTTTTTAAAAAGAGAAACCTCTAGTACTGTACTCCACACGTTTTCGCCATCAGTAAGTATGCAGATAAAATTCTTTCTATTCCACTTAACACAATTTGAAATTATCAGCAAGTGAAGTATATTCAACTGCTTATCTACAGAGAGGCATGTAGGACTCCAATTAAGTTTACATGGATAAATGCAGATTTGTTTGCAGACGTCAAGATGACAGAAGCTTAATACTGTAAAAAGGCTAATCAACACTGAATATGTTTAGTGTCAGTAAATATTTATAGTGAAATCATTGCCTATGGTTTTGTGCCTTGGCATTCCAAGTTCTGATTTTTAGTGAGTAAAAATGTGGTGTGTTATCCTGTTCATAAGCCTGCTATAAAATTTTTGTTTTCTATAAAATTAATTTTATTACCTTTTTTCTTCTTTGTGTTTTCTTGGGAAGACAGGTTAGGAGTTAGGCTATGGTTTGTAAGTTAATAAAAAGTCTGCTGTATTTAGCAAGGTTTTAAGACAGATGTAGTCCAGAGAATGAAGAAGGGAAGGGAGGCAAGACAGAGACAGGCAGTATGGGGTGTAATTTCTCTGCTTATAATTTTATTTTTTTTAATGAGGATTTCTTCAAATAGTGGTTACTAATCAGCTCTGGTCTACAATGTTATTATTTAGTGTGCTCATGGATTCATTAGGCAATAACTACAGTTTAACTGGGAAATTAATTGAACCTTAGGAATACATGTTTGTTTTATATAAAACACACAAATACATAAATATTTTAATTTTATTAGCTCTCCGGAAGTTAATTGCTAGTCCCACTCTCTTTTACAAATGTATTTTGGAAAAAAGTGTGTCAAAATCGAAATCCAAGAATACATCTTAAATTGAACTACTACTCATGTAATATTGTATGAAGAATACAGCCAAGTGAAATAAAAAATAGAGGTGCAAGAAACATTGATTATTATTTTTTAGTATGTTTTGACTTAGAGAGAAGAAGAATAACTGTAACGGCAGTTCTGCATCAGTCTTTAACAGTGTAAAAAGGTGATGGTAAAATGAAATTTTGTTTTCTGGATGGGAAATAAATTGCTATAGTTTAGGATTTTGTTTGTTTGTTGGAAATGTTATGGCTTGTCAGGTTAACAAATGTGATTTTGTTCCTGGCAGACTGCAGACCTGGTCAAGAAAAAGAAAAATTCCCTGAAAACCATTGCAACATAAATACAATATACTTCAGTTCAGTGTCTAACTTTGCATGAAATAAGCGCTGCCTGTTAGCCTCTGTTTGATCCTGTGAGAGTGTGGGGCTAATGTCTGGCCAGTGTTTTGGAAGCAGCAGGTAGTCAGGAGCAAGCTGCTCTAGGGGTCCATATTTCTGTAGCTTAGCAGTTACTCACACACAGATGGAGACCTTATGAACTTTGACAGAGGTCACGCTAAATTGCAAATCTAAAACTTCTAGACTTCTGAAGGATTACACTGGTACTTTTTTTTTTTTTTTTAAAGCCATACAACTGGGAACATCACTAAAGTTATCAACTCAGTTTTGAGATTTAGATCAACCACGCAGTCTTGCTCACATAATGATCATGGAAACTGATAAAGATAGCCTTTTATGATACTTTAAAGGGAAACTTGCATATTAAAATTTTAATTTACATATGTAAACCACATTTGTTATATTGCTTCCCAAACACCTAGGCTTGTCTGCTCTACTGAACTTGTTAAAGGAATTTTGGAGCTTAAAGCACTGCAGAGTCCTCTGATTTTTTTGATGCTTATGAGTTAGAAAGAATTAAGATACCCATAGTATTTTTTTGATTTCAAGTCTTCTGGGGCAGGCAGTTGAGACACCAGGCTCTCTTTCAGCTGTCATCAGCCATCATCTCACCAGGGATCTTAGAGCAGTTTAGGAAAGAAAAACATGAGATGATATGGTTACACATTGTAGTGTGTTTCAATGCTCCCAGACTTTGAATCCAGGATTTAAGAGGTCCTCTTTTGTCTTTTAATTATAGTGCTGAAGCTGTACTTAATAGATGAAAATCTCTGTGATATTTCAGTGTATTATTCAAATGAAAAAACTTGGAGGGATTTTGTAGCAGCCAAAGCAAGACACTATTTGTTTCCCAGTTATAGTAATTTAGCGTAAGATTTCTTTTTTAATTTTTTGTTTAGTGGAGATGCAATTTGAGTTTCATTCAGTGTTTATGAAATCAGGGTCCATGAATGACTATCCAGGTCACAGACAGCAAGGAGACTGATCCTTTTTTAATCAAATGGTCAAATTTTTATCTTGTCAACATTGAACTGGTTGTGTAATGTGCTACTTAATGGCTCATGAACTAGTCTTTAAAGCTATGACTTCATGATTCAGTGAGGCTGAGTCTGACTCACTCGATGTGCTGAAAGTGGTTTCAGTGGTGGCCACACATAGAGCTTGAAAATTCACACCAGCAACAGACTGTAGGGGAAAAAAAGCTTTAAAACTGTTTGAACTGGTCTGCACATAAAATAACAAGAATGTTATTTGTGCATTTAAACTGGAAAAACGCAAAGTAGGAGAGCAAAAGAATCTTGTTCTGTAGTCCCAGCAATTTGTAGTCACTGTACTGCTAGTGTCCTTGCTTTGAGGAGATCTTGATTGAGAAAAAAATTTCAGATAGCTTAATTTGCAGTTAGGAGACGTGAGTTTGCAATTAATTCTTACTCATGTTACTTTAAACTAGAGGTATTAGAAAAAAAATGTGCATATAACTTTTGAATCATGTCATTACTGTATTAATCGTAATAACTTGTAAGTAAACATATCTAAATTTAAAGTTCAGAATCTTGTACTTTACAAGAGTTATGGGTGCACAGACAAGTTTTTACAAGATAAACTAGTCTGTGATGTGCTCTGCGTTTTATACTTAATGGTGTGCACCTAACACCAAAGTTCATGTGACCTGGCAAATGCAATGTGACTTTGGAGTTGCCTGCCCCTGTGACACTGAGAGGAAAGAATGTGAATCACTTTCTATTTCCTGAAGGGCAAGAATGTGCACACTGACAGCTGAGGTTGGATAACCTCTTTCCTATAGCAGCTTCCTCATTTATCCATACCTGGAATGGATGAAGCAGCTGCATAAACTTACAGTTTATGCTCCTGTATTGCGTGTCTATTTCAGCTTCTCTTATGAAAAAGTATTAATGTTTTTGAGGCAGTGTTATTCTCTAGTCATGTTGAGATTGAACTGTTGTGGCTCTTCAAATTTTATGTACTATCTCTTTCCAAAATTGAGAAGAGAGTTGAGATAAAGACGGTATTTTTCTTTTACCTGCATAATTTTAAACTTTCTTTTCCACAGGTGACCTGTGCTACTCTTAAAAGAGAAAGTATCTACTCTGAAAATTTTTTAGAATGCAGTAGGCAGAAGATAATTTAAATTATCTGAGTATTTTTTTCTTAGGGTTTTTTTGCGCTTCCTTTCCTCTCCCACCTTCTACAAATACTTCTATTCAGTGGAATGAGATTTAATGACTATCACATTCAGTGCTAAACTGCAAGTACTTCTTGCAAAGTGCAGTTTAGCATTAAGTTACTAAGTAAGTTACACAACCATGTTAAATTCAAAGGAAAATAAAGCTTGAAGGATTTAAGAAAATCGTCTAGTTCCACTGCCTGAACTAAGGTACGCCAACTGTATCTGCATCCTGACAGGTGTTTCTTTAACGTGTTTTTAAAGGTCTTCACTGACTCCAGAATTTTTCCCTAGGCAATCTTTTTCCAGTATTAACTATCCTAAGTACATATCTTGTACTGACATTTACTCCTGATTATGTTTTTTCCAGCCTACGTTAGAAATGGGATATGATTTATTCGTTAAAGGAAGGGGCAGAGGACTTACTGTTTTCTTTGTGGGTACCAGACTGATACAGGCAGCATCCATTGAGCTGTGTGGCTTTAGATTTAATTTGTCAGAAGTTGTCTTTCTTTGTTGGCACAAAAAGCAGGGGAAAAGAAGGAAGAGAAAAATAAGGAAAAAAGAGAGAGGAGACAGGCTGAGAAGTGGAATGAAAGGAGATAAAGTAAATTAGAGAAAAAAAGAGGTATAATATTCAGACAAATTAAAGGACAAAGGTGGCTGTATGAACTCTATGATAAGTAATTTTTTAATTAAAGATTTTTTTTTTTTCTGTGAGGGTGAGGCTACATGCCTAGCAGGGTCATGCTAGGGGGAATATGGGGCATTCGATAAAAGAATTGGCCAGACAAGGTTGGATAAAGGTCTATATGGAGTGAGCAGTAGATTTCTTTGTTTTGTCAGTTCCACGCGAGTCTCTTCCAGATGGAAAAAAATGTTTTAAAATTACATACAGCTGATAAAACTTTTTACTGTCTTTCATTTCTGTGATTGGAGTGTAACACGGCCAATATCTTCCACAGGAGTGTGAGTATATAAGGTGGCAGGGTGACAAGGTGGACCAGAGTTCACTGAAATGGGATTGATGCTTATAGTCATGACTAATGTGTCATTTCAAAGACCTGGCTCTGGTCTTACCTATGTATCTGCTAGGACTGAACCAAAATTTTCTTGCTTGTGCATGCTGGTGTTTGAAGCTAGATGTTTGAATTAGACTTGATGAGGTGAAAAATTGTAAAGTTTACTTCTTAATTAGAATGAGTGTTTAAGGAGGCTATGTTGAGGCAGGAGTGGAACAAAATTGGTATATCTGCTTTGATTACATCAGTCCTGTGGTCTCTGAGTTGCAAACAAGTATTTATTCTACCAAGGTAAGAGCTCATACTTTCACAAGTTGTTTCCTGCTGTAATTTGTGATGAATATGTTTACTTGATTCTGTATTGATTTTTTGTTTTCAGGTGTGGCTCACAATATTTCTTTACTGCGAGAAGTGATTGTTCATCCACGCTTTGTTCAAGGAGACATCAGCACTAAATTCCTTCCTGAAGTCTATCCTGATGGTTTTAAAGGTTTGTTCCATTTGGGATTGTTTCTATTTTTTTTTTTTTTCCCTTGAGTGATGTTGTTTCTGATTGTTATTCCTTTATAGACTAACATGTCCCCCAATTAGTATTTTTTTTTCTTAAATGTATCTGTGCATCCATGCAATTAAGAGTTTTTAAATAATGCATAATATAATTGAAACAGTTACTTCCCTTTACTTTCAAGAAGGCAAAATACATATTTTTAGTGACAAAATAGTAAATGAAGTATATCCCAAGTCAAGAAAAACAATTTGTAGGTGATACGAAATATGTAAAATAAAGATCAGCTCGACTCTACCATGCTATTGTGCTTCATTACAGACAGTGCTCCTACTGTTAACTGAAGATAAGATTGTTTTTTACTCAAGATTATTGCTTATCCAGTGAGTTTTTGCAGCATCTTTAGAATTGCCTTTTCGCACCCTTCGTATTCATTGTAGCACTGACTTGAAGGATCTGGCGTTTTGTTAGAGTAGTTAAGTAATGTGGTCTTACTGCTCATTACACTCAGCAATGGGTATCACCTTGAAATTGTTAACCCATACACTAGGTTAACTTAAACACAAATGTAAATGTTTCTTTACAACATCCCAAACATCTCAGCTGCAGTCATGTGTAACAACGGTTGGTAGAGAAACGTCAGTAAACAAATAGATTGGTTTCCTTTTCACAGAGATCAAATTTTAAAAGGTTGTCTCCTCTCTCAACTAATCTGCTGTAGGTGCTTTCTTAACCTGTGTAGTCAGAGACTCAGTCCTGCTATACAGGCCTTACACCTCAGCTGATATTCATCAGGCAGAATCTCTTATTTATTTAAAAAAAAAAAGGGCAGTGTTTATAGCTCATCATTCATGGGTCCTTTATGAATCCCATGGAGATTCTTTTCTCTCCCATTCATCATTAATCCAATGTGGCAGAATTCTCATCCCACTTTGGAGACAACACTGCCAGATTGGCAGTCATTGGACATGACTGGCACCTTGCCAAATTCTGGTCTCGTTAAGGAGCAGAACAGATTTTTCTTACCTCAGGACTCAGTATGTAAGTTTGGTGCAAAGAATATTCATCCACAGAACTACTGTATATCGTGATGTAATTGGCAACTCTGTGTGATACAATTGTACATGTGGGATTAATGCATCCAGCTTGTTATTGGCTCCTGACTGTGGCCAAAGCAGTAGGAGTTAGTCACCTTGGGTGGCAGTAAGCTTGTGATGGTTGAAGCTCAAATGGACTTTTGTCATCTTTGCTAAGGTGTACTTAACTGATCTTCAGGCAACTCAGCTGTCTTTCATCCAGCACAGGCTTGAGGGTACTCTAAAGGCTCAGTGCTGCTGTCTGTCTCCCTTCTCTGACACTTTAATACGGAATCCCATGTCCTGTATCTTTGATGATTCTGGGACTTTTCAGTCCTTTTCCTCAGTGGATTCAGTTCCTGTAAACCAGCATAAAACTCCTTTTTTTTTTTTTTTTTTTTATTGTTGCTGCTTTTGTTGGGGTAGTTTTTTGAGAGTTCTTGGGTTAAATCTGGTGAACTTGAGCAGATGTGCAAAGTGAGTGGCAGGCTAGGAATGGGGAGAAGGGAATAGAGAAGAAGGATAAGGATGTAAGATGTTAAATAGGTTTATAACATTTTGTGAAAAGGCAGCCTTACCTCACAAAACTGGGAACAATAAAAACATAAACCATTCTACCCTTCTTTGGGATAATGTGTCTGTTGGAGCCCTTAGTCACTTGTAAGAATCTGGGACAGGTTTTGCTGACCCAGGAGGAGGCTCCTTGTCAGTATTTTTGACTACAGAAAGTCACTCTTGTCTTTTGTTCTTCTATTCTTGTTTAAATATTTTATATAGCAATGTTAACTGGTATATAATCAGTTAATTACTTGTTGGTCCATAAATTGCAGGATGACAAGAAATTTGTTTTGGTGTCATCTGACTTGAACTGTATATGCATGTATTTACACAATACACACTGATGCAAATGGCTGATAGTGTCGCAGTCTGAGGTAAACAGTAATATTGTATTAACAGAGCCTTAAAGGTAAGCTTTTGCTTTGGACACCAGAAGACACAAGAAGAGAGATTGTAACAGTTCATAATAGAAACTAATGAATGGCAGGCCTGAAATAACTAGACTTTGCTCCTGCTGTATGAAAAGTCTCGCTCTTCTTCCATGTATCCAATACAAGCATACATTAGCTGCCTTAATGATAATAAAATGCAGATATCATTATTACAAAATAGTTGTATTTTAAGAGTACTGATTCAAAGCTCACTGAAGTAATTGATAGCCCTTTTAATGATGTAGTTTGATCGGACCCTTCTGTCTTAAAAAAAAGTGAGCTGAATTAGAGGATTTTTTTTAAGTACATATTGAGAAATATTTCTGCAAATGCAAAGACTTTAATGGGAACTGTTGAAGGCAAGCGAGGGTGGTGGGCAGGTGGCAGAAGCTCAGCAAAAGAAACAAAGGCAAATTAACTTATGCAGTATAAGTCTTCTACTCACTTCAACTAACATTTTTATGTAAATACCCAAGGTATACTTTTCTAGGATGGTTTGAAAATGAAGTAGCTTCATTTATCTTAATATTGTTTATAAAAGACATGTGGCTATAAGAAAGATCTGGGATAATCTAAAAAATTAGAGCAATGAGTAGCCAAAGTGGATTTGGAAATACCTAGAAATACGTACTGTTGTTAACAGTAGGAATCTATACCAGAAGAAATTTGTAAATTTTGAAAATTTAAATGAAAAAAATGTCAATGATGTGTACTATATTAATGCTCGAGCACATCCTATGTGTTTCTTTTGCAAACTACGCAATTACCACTGTTGGTCTGCATTGATGGTAAGTAATGAATGTCAGCTGTGTTCTTTCTGGTGACTGCAGGAAGTACTGGCCCATTTCTTATGTGCATTTTTCTTCAAATATAAATATTAACTTTAGTCTTAAGAGTAAAATAAGAGATGCTTTGTTTCCCAGTCTCATTTTCAAGTGTTTCATTATAAATCCTTTATTAGAAAGCTTTTACTATAAGTTAAGAAAAAAATTAATTATTAGAAATATCTTGGCAGCTTTTCCATTAACCTGTGATGCCCACTTCAAATTACATCTAGAATGGAATGCTTTGTAATTTTCATTATTACAGTTTAACTCTTTTTCTTCCTTTCTTTAAATAAGCATTCATTAACAAAATCAGTTTGTTTATTGCAAGTTATTTTAAAATATTGTTGTGCTGAAACTAACCTTGCTTAGGATATGATTAGTGTGGGAAAACAGCTGCTGTCATACCCTTTTATTGTCTGTGAGGGATGGATGGCTAGAATGCCGGCTGGCAGTGGGTCAGCTGGAGTGGGTTATTGCTCTAAGCACACATGCATGTTTTGGGGGCAGTGAGGATCTGAGGGTGGGTGCAGCAACACTGATTGGGTCAGGTGACACAAATATGTCTGTCTTACAGTGGCTTCACAACGCAAAAATGTTTGCCAGCTATGCAGGAGTAGCCTATACTACCAGATAGGGTATTGTCAAATGAGCTTCTGCAGCTTCCAAGCAGCCTGGGATGCCTCTGCTTCCTAAACTGTCTGGTGAGAAATATACCATTATCCCTATTTTATAGGCACAGAAAATATCTCTGTTTTCACAAAGATCCAAGAGGAGTCTTTGACAAAGAACAAATTAAACTGAAGGATCATTCTTTGTGGTTCATTTTGCTTCACAATCTTTTCCTGGATATCTGTTTTAATACTGAGGTGGGGTTTTTTTAAATGGTCCACTCTTCCTCGTTATTAAATGGTGTCTTCATGTTTGGTCAGTCTCTTTGGGAGAGACATCCTGTGGAAATGAAAAATGAGGCATTTTCCAGGAGTTCATCATGAAAGTCATATCAAAACTTGGGATGGGGGTCATGGTGGGGAGGATGGAGAAGGGAAAAGGAATACTTTACTTCCCTTCTCCTAGCATATATTCTCCACCTCATTTGGGTGGAGAGGAAGAGCAGAAGTTCTGATGGATGATTCTTTATATTAACTGGTTTCTAATACACAAAGCAAGAAAGAGGAAGCACCTCTCTGTCAGAATCATCTGGGTTGGAAAAGACCTTGAAGGTCATCCAGTCCAACCATTAACCTAACACTGACAGTTCCCAACTACACCAGATCCCTCAGCGCTATGTTGACCTGACTCTTAAACACCTCCAGGGATGGGGACTCCACCACCTCCCTGGTCAGCCCATTCCAACACCTAACAACTCGTTCTGTAAAGAAATGCTTCCTAATATCTAGTTCTAAATTTAAGTCTGGAGAATTTTATTATTAGTTGAAAGGGGTAATGTAGCTTCCCCTGGCTGTGTTACTGTTAGAAGAGAGAGGACACTTGCTGTTATATCCATTCATCTTCTCCACACTGGAATCTAATCTTTGTCTTAATTTTATGAAACTACTGGATTATAAAAATTGACTTAACAGTTTGCTTGACTTTCTTCTTTCTGGCAGGTGAAGCTAAGAGACATTTCTTGGTTTGTCACTAATCCCTTTATAATTCAGAATAGTAAGAGGTTTCCTTTCTGTATGCTACGGCATCCATCTTACAAATGATCACGAGCTCTCTGAGAGACATACTTCTTCACTGTTCTGAATGGCTTGAGATTTCATACGCAGACAATATTGTCTGTCTTTGACCATTTGGGTGGAATAAAGCTCTGGTGGACTTCAGAAGAAGTTAAGCTCTTTAATAACATCCAACTTTGTTTTCTGCTTCAGCCTACTTGGTATACGTGTTATCTGTAATGGTCAACTTCAAAAATCCGTTGGGGGAAAACTTGAACCAAAACAGACCCTAGGAGTGATATAAACATTACCTGCCTGGGTATGGATCTGAATTATGCATTGCACTTTCCATCTTACCGATTTTGCTTTTAATTTTTATTCTTCCCAATCAAAACCCAGTCACTTTTCAAATATTAAGTAACAGACTGGGGGACATAATTTTTTTTTTTTTTTTTTTTTTTTTCTCCTGTAATTGATAGTAGGAAACACATTTCTAGGACAAAATGCAAATGAGACTGTTATGGGAAAAATGACCTTTTATGTAATTTAATTTGAAGTTGGTTATGTAAAGTAATTGCATGAACCTTTTTGACTCAGCTTGGGGGATAGTGGGATAATATTGATTTAAGCAATCATAACATCAGGGAAATGAGAGAGAAAAATACTTTCTCCTTGTCCTCCTTCCGATGAGGGTTCTGTCATTTAGTGGTAATAGATGCGTGTGGTCTAGTTTTAAATAAGAACAACAGTGCTTCCACTCCTTTAGTTGTGACTGAATTTTATAGTCATTAATCCTGTTTTATGTTCATCTTATATAATTCATCTCAGTGATGATAGTGATAATGTAGACGTATATCCCAGGTTGAGCAGAGAGATTTGGGAGCTGGTTTACATTTTATGGTGGAGTTGAAATCTCCCTGTAGCCCAGGAGTCTGCAGTAATTAGAGTAGAAAAGAGCAGTGGCAGTAATTCCCATGTTGGAAGCTGAGGAACCTTTGCTACTTATTTCACTCCCTGTCAAGGCAGCACGTGGACAAATGCCCCAAAGGTAGCTTTGTTATTTTTCAGATTGATCTTCTGTATGATGAATGTGAAAGACTGCATTGTTATAACTTTATTGATGGTGAATATTAACTTATACCTCAAGACATCCAATTGGAATCCTGTGGGGTGACTTCTAAAGTAAAATAATAATTGAAAGTGAAACAAAGGTATCACTATCTGGAACATTTAGTGTATTTCTAAGTATAGTAATGTAATTGAAATTTTAACTTCAAAATGGTTTAAAATTCTGTTGAGCATAGCAGCAGAGTAAGAGCAGAAGGCCGGGGAAATGGGACTGGAGTTCAGAGAACTAAAGCAGTACCGACAGCAGTTTGTCTTGTCTAATAAAGGTAAATTGCCATCCTTAGGAAGCAGCTTTTAATCAAGCTTCCGAGGTATGCCTCCAAAGTTATGCTAAGGACATTCTGTGGTAGGACTGTATCTTTATTGCCAAAGACCAAAACATCATTTTGATATGTCCTTATTAACAGTTTGTATTATCTCCCAGAAATCCCACATTGGATACTACAGTCATGACCAGTTTCTGCTTGCCACATCTATGCCACAACTGATGCAAATAGCGACAAATAGAGAAAGCGGATAAATATTTTTTTCATGTTTGTGATAATGAAGCGGTGAATGTGACTCTTGATCAGTTGTTAACCTGTTTCAAATTATTGACCTTTGTTCACTGTTTGGAGTTTGATTTCTATTGAAGATACAGGGAGAAAATAGTTTTTGCAGCACAGCAAGCGCAAAAGCAATTATTGATTTAATCCAAGATGAAGGTCATGCAATGAAACCTTCAAATTGGGATCTTTCTAGTTTTACCTTGTTCCTTTATATGAGTTGATACTACCAGTGAGTGTTGGAGCAGGTGGGAACATGCAGTTTTGATCACGTGGACTTGTCATGGGTGTTAGGGTGACTGAAAAGCAAAGGTTTTAGAATGGATTCCTGATGTATCTTTAGTTGAGACATGTAAACAGATCATCAATTTTAGATACAGTCTTTTGGAAAAATTACCTCAGAGCTGCTTTACTGTGTGTGTAAACAGTTGGAAAACTGGAACATTTCAGAGCCAGATAGTTGATGTTTCTGCATTGTATAATTATATAAGGCTTATATATACATGTATATATGCGTATATATACATATAAATAATGCAAAATTTCAGTGTTTTTTGACTTTCACTTTGCAAACTGTTTTTCTAGTAATTGGCAAAGGAAAGATCCAAGTTTGTTTTTCAAGTCAGTTCTTCAACCTTTCAGCATTTGTATTTCTGCATGTGTTTGTTAAAGTGAGGACAGTTTCCATTTCAAGGCAGTTAAAAAATAATAAACACTGAGCAATGAAGTTGCAGTAATCTTTAGCCAAAATATGCTAATATGGACTAAATTAAAATAGATTGATGCAGATAATTTTCTTTTTTTTTTTTTTTTTGCCTGTGACAGCTCCTTTGTGCTGTTAGCTGGAACTGTGTGTTTCCATCACCATGGCATGATTGCATTGCTGAGGTGGACTCTATGCAGTCTTTTTACCTATCTGTATTTAATGTGCCCAGTGGAATGATGGGTCCTGTGCAGAAGATGTCCTGCTTTGAAATTGTGCACTTGCTACTGTAAAGTCTGCCCCAGTCCTTTTCAGAGGCCTCCATTCTGGGTTTTCTTGAGGATCACTTGCTAGTGACCACTACTGGGGAATGTGAACTAAGGTTACATGCAGTAGTACTGAGGTGATGGAAGAATGGAGATGTATAAGGGAGCTGTGTAACTGTTTTCTGCTGCAAGACTGGAAGTAAACATGCCCCCCTGGGCAGAATTGCTCAGGGAGATGCAGCCTTCTAAACCCCTTCCCCCTCCTCTTCCCCCATCCCTTCAGATGAAAACTATACTTGCCATGGACAATGGCATTTGCTGCGATACGTACGTATAAAGCGCTTTTGACAGCTGTGTTGTAACTGAGTTCAGCCAAGTCTTTCAGTCTTAACCTTTATTTTTTTAAACTTTATTTATTGTGTTATTCTCTCCTCTGACTTTTGAAACATTTTTGCTTTCATCTGTGTGAAATTTCTCTCCTGAGGATGAAATTTGCCTCTTTCTCCATGACAATTCATCTTTGCTCTTCTTGTCCTGTTCTATGTCAACTTTAACTTCCTGCCACTGTGTTATGGACTGAGTGCTTTACTTGTCGTTTTGCTCCATTTCATATTGGTTTTGACTGTTCTGCTTTTCTGATACCAGTCTTGGCCACCTATTTGCCAACTTTTCATACCAAATCTGTGTTGTGCGCTTTCTAACTGAAGATGGGGAGGTCAAAGTTGTGTCACTGTGCTCTGTCTTTTAGTCTGCTGAATGGACAATTGAATTTTTAGTTAACCTTCACTTTCTGGAACAAGATCAGGTTGGGAGAAAACCCCTTTCCAATCACCCTGGTTTGCACCTTTTTGTCCAAACCTCTATTAGCTTGCCTGCCTTCAGACTGTAGGCTACTTTGAGCCGTTTACTGCTTATGGAGTGTCAAACAGGACTTTGACTTCATTAGTCACAAACTGGTAATTACACAGAATGACACTAAGTGACCCAGGACTGAAAGTTCTATCCCCATTTATTTCTGGGGTTTATACTGTTGCATTATCCCTTTTGCTTGGAAGATCTATATCCTTTGCAAGGTGAAGTACTGAGAAAGAATGCTGTATATTTTGAATAAGTTCTAATGTACAGATGGATTCCTTACCAGCATGAGGCACAATATGTCAACCAGTGACATTTCAGTAACGAAAACAAGATGCTGCAGCATCGTTCAGTTTTTTTTTCTTTCAGTTGTCAAATTGTTTTTAACAGGGATACCAGTGTTAGCAGTAGGGCTGATCTGTATGAAAACATGCAATTTAAACTCTGAAACTCAGAGCGTCTGCTATGCTAATCCTCATCTTAATTTAGAGGGGAAAAAACCATAAGTTTAATGTGTAAGGACTAAGCAGTGTCTTCACTAGTAGTTGTTACTTTTTGTGTCTGTGTTGGTCTGTGGTATCTAACTCTTTTTTGTTAAACTTCTTTCTGAAAACTAGGACACAAGTTGACAGATCTTGAAAGAAGAGAACTACTGGCAACAGCAGCGTCTTTGTATGTGGCTGAACAACTGAGATCACAGCGATTTCTAGGGACTCCAAGGTGAGTTCATTTCTAGGAACTCAGATGTGCTGATGTGTTTTGTTAGTGGCATCTTCTCATGCATGAGAGAGACTGGTGAGAAACTGCATGGTTTCTTGATATAGTCTGTTTTTTCTAAATTCAAATGAGCTGTGACTTAAATTTCTTTACTCACACAAGTCATACGTGATTATTTTTATTCTACATATTAGCAATCTAATAGGCACAAAAATGTGTTACAAGCCAGTACAGTAATTAATGCACATCAGGAGTTTCATTAATGCAAAATGTTGCTGCATTAGTAACTAACCACAAATTGAGCATCACAAATTTCCCATGTGCCCATTTGAAGTGATCTAAGCACTTTGGGATAATATGAATATTCAGCTACAGAGTCTTAAAATATTGTGGATTCATGAGTAATTTGCTGCCTTGATGAAGAACCTTAATAGTTTAGAGTCTAATTCTGAAAATACTTTCTGCCTGGTAAATGCTGGAAGAGTCAGCACCTTGCTTAAGTATGTTTTTTTGGTGCTTTTGTTCCCCAACTCATTCTTTTGGGTAGTAGCTGCTAGTAACCTAGGTAGTACTTTAATTGGCCAGCCGTTGCAGTAGCTTCTGTCACTTCTTTGGCTTTTTGGAACTGTGTGCTTTTTTTCCTCTAGGATATTTCTAGCTTTTGTTGTGCTCTGTCCCATCATTGTTGTTGCCTTGAGACCTTCTATTAGAACAATTGAATTTGTGAAACCTGCTTGGGTAGTTGGTGTTCACAACCACTGCATACAGTGAATCCTAACTTCAGCATGACTTTCTTCTTGCCTCACATTCTTTAATGTAGTTGCGTGTGTGTTTGTGTGAGAGGGAAGGCAGAATGCAGGATAGACATTATTCACATTCCATGCCAGTGGTTTGACAGTGTATTCTATTACTGATTTTACAGTGGTCAGGAATAAATCAAATGTGGTTTCAAGAAGTCTTTATTTTTATTTGTACTCACAAAGATAAATAGTACCATATGGTGTTAAAAAAAAAAAAAAAGGACACTTAGGGCAAGCATAACGGTTTTGTAATATATAGCATATGTAGGGCTAGGTCATTGCTTGCCTTATGCACCTATAGGGGAAAGTAAAGCACCTTTTTTATTTCCTTCCACGAGTTATATCCTCCATAGCAAATGGTATAAGGGGAACAACAGACACTTGAAGGCCACTGTTCCCTAAATAAAAAATTAATGAGGGAAAATGAGGAGGAAGCTTGATTATAGTTTTTACTGGCCCGCCTAGGAAGTTAAGTAGTCTGGTACTGCTATAGAGAGTAATGGATTACTTTGTACTTAGGGTAAGGATAGGAATTGTTGATTTAAGTAGTGATTCTCAAACTGCTATTGCATTCCTTGCTCTGGTTTTGAGTTGTTTTTCCTCTGACCTGTAAAATGTTCTTACCTGCTGAAAAGAAAAGGAGTCTAATTTTTGAAGAATCTTCTAACATTTTCTTTCTATTGCAAGTATTTTTCTTTCAGTACTAGGTGTCTGTGTATCTTAAAAGAAAAGACATACACAACTATTTTTACTGAGATATCAGATACGTAAACCAAGTATTGCATTGAGCAGTCAGGCATGGTCATTAATTTCTTTTTGTGCTACATCAGGGAAACAAATATATCCCTGCTTGGAAAAAAATCAGCTTGTTTTTGGAATCCTAGACTAACTCCCTCACATATTTTCTTCTATTGTGACCAGAGAAGGCAGCAGAGTCTAACCACATGAAGTTTGTAAGACTAGATTGAGGTCTGATTTTTCAGATTTTAAATGGTGAAGCTAACAATTTTTTTCAGTACAGGGAAGATCACTTTGTCTTGCCATGATGGAGTGTACTTATGTTCAGCTCAGCTTTCAAAGGATGGACTTCTCTGTCTGTTGAGACATATGCAGATCTGAAATGAAACCTTCAGAAGTTGAGCCTTAAAATTTTCTCTTGGTGGCTGAGTGTGGTTCTTATTGAATAGGTTATGGTTTCAATTCACATATGCTGTTAGATCTACTTGTTTTAATGATAGTAAAGCTGCCTATTTGAGGCCAAGTTAAGATAATGCAAAAAGGCTTAGTGGTAAGTAACTTCTGAAGAAAACCAAACCAGATAATGATACCCTTTCCCACAAATCACGGAGCTCCTTCAGAAGAAAAGTCAAAGAAACAAAGGCAGAATGAGGTCAAAGGATTGTGTAGTGTCCTGGACAGTGTTCTCCATTCCTTAGAGCAGCTAGTGGACTCCCTCTAGAGGGGACTGAGGACTGTGAAGCATACAAGTTACTGCAGTCCCATCAAGGATCTTTTATGGCATGTCTTTATTAATTTACCCAGACTGCATCTGACTTGTTTTTGAAGGTGTTCCATGTCATGGGTACTTTTTTAGGAAGCAGGATTGTGGCCACAGAAAGCACATCTTTATTGGTCTGGCTGCAATCTGTTTGACAAGTATTAGTAAACAAAAAATGCAGAGTAGGAACCTGTGCTGCTGGCAACAAATCAAAAAGGCCAGTTGTAATCTTGGATGTGGTTCACTGTCAGAATCGGGTGTTTGGAGTCTGTGTGAATTTTAAGTCCATGTTAGAGGATGTAAGTGGATTAGACAGACTGCAAGCTCCAAAATTGATCCATAACATTCTCCTAATGGTTTGGAAAAGTACATTGACATGATGATCATCATCTTCAAAATTTCAGCTCTTTGGCACTATTTATGTTGACAGCATTTTTTTCTTTTGCATGCACTGAAAGCACTTGAGGAATTTTTGTGTAAGGAATTACACTGAAAGTAGTATTTTCAAATCATGCATTATTTCTTCTAAACTTGTCACGGCTGCCAAATAGAGAGTTTTCTGCTGAACTTGAGTTATATGCTTATCTTTGGTTTTGGTTTGTTTTCTTTTCCCTTTTGGGAGCCATATTTATAATATGCATTCTTTTCACAACTGCAGTGGTATTTTGGGTTCCCTTTTTTTCCTCCGTGATTTATTCAGCCCAGGCTCAGGTTTGTTATTCTAGTCAGATAGATAGAAAGAACCATGCTTGGAAGTCTTCACAGAAGCTCCACCCTTCTCTATCAGAGCTACTGAGACTGTAATCAGATGAAATGCAGCTGAGCCAAATTAAGGAATAGTTGTCCTATCCTGCTCCTCCCTTGGTTTCTGGGTTTCTTCCTCCTCCTCCCCAAGGTATGCAGGCATGATTTTGTGTGTAGTTGCTTTCTACTCTGGTTCTGCTAAAACAACTTGTATTAGTGTAGAAACAGTTAGATAATACTTCAGATCATTCTGACAGAACCAGGTTAAGTAATGACAAGTGAAATTATTCTGGAAGAGCTACAAGAGTGGGAATGTGCAGCAAGGAGGAAGAGGAGAGCAGAGGATGGCTCATAAATGAGGTGCAGAGGTGGGCCTTAGCACTCTGCCACAGATCAGACTAATAGCAGCCTCATGAGGAGGGTTCTCCTCTACAGTTGATGATACTTGCAGGGATGTGACTGGAAAATAGGTATTTTGCAATCCCCTGGGTGACTGAATCATAAACTGTAAGGTTCTTGCTGGAATGTGCTCAGTTATCAGCGAGCTATTGCCTCATTAGGATCAAACACCCAACTTTCTTCAGCTAGTTTCAGTTAGACATGACCCCTGTAATGGGATTCTTTGTTGCAGTAGTTCATGTGGCGTTGAGGTTAATACAGGCCACAAGCCGAAGGCTGTTTTGCCTTTCCTGTGTTAAAATGAATTGTATTATGATTTGGGTGGAGCACCCACAGGTGAGTTTCCACTCTCTGCATTGCTGTGTGCCCCTGGCCTCACCAACGGTCTCCTAGGATTACTTTGCCAACCATTAGCTAGAACAGCTGCTGGAGACCTGTGGATGCTCAGAGTTACAGGAATGTAGACATTTACTTTTGTTATGCAATTGGATATTTAGAACATTCTCTGTGTTTGAGTTATGTGGTTGGTTGTTTGTTGTTGTTGGTTTTTTGTTTTTTTTTTTTTAATCTGGTTATTTAACCAGTGTTCTTGGGAAATAGGTTGTTATGTGGGGTGGTTTGGTTTTTTGGGTCGTGTTTTTTTTTATCTTTTTTTAAAAAGATGATTAGCTAATGAAAATGCTTGCTATTTTGTGAGCCAGATACTAATGTGTATATTTCACTGTGATATCCAGATAATAGGGGCACAGGTTTCCTATAGGAAAAAGCCATGAATGATTAATGATTCTTTCATTGTTCAGCTTTCAGTTATTTTACCTAGGACTTTTCCTACTTATTCCATAGTCCAGTTTATTGTGAAACTGGTGCCACCCACAGCTGCTGAACAGATTTACAGCATCTAGTAAAATCTCAAGGTCTTCTCAACAGAACTCGGTCTTGTTTCAAGTGGAAACATATTTTGGCTGAAGTGAATCCAGCTTATTTTATGTCTATTTGATGTAGTTAGCCTTTGAGACCAAAAATGATGTTGTACAGTTGAATCTTCACGTTTTGGCTCCAGACTTGTTTTCGTTAGTGGGTTGGGAGGGGAATAGGAGAGTGACTCTCCAGGTGTGGCTACATCATGCTATCTCATGGGTCTACTAATGTGATGTTTATACTTCTAAACCCAATTGCCTACAGCACTTCCTATGCGTTGCTTGTGTTGGCTGCTCAGTGTATTTTCCTAATTTTTCTATGGGTTTTACCCTTTCATCATTTATGACTTGGAAAAAAACAGTGAGGCTGTATGCCCATATTACCTGATACTACATGCAAGAAGACGGTAACACATTGGAAAATGTTTTATATTGCTAGCAAAAAAACCTAAAGGTTTTTCTTGCTCATGTGTTTAATATAGCAGACTGGGATTAGGGAGCCTTGAGTTAAACTCCTGACTGTTCTTGTGGGACCTTAGAGAAGCCAGTTAGATTGGGCATCAGTTTACAAAATGACAAAATGGCCTTAATAATTTTACTGCATTACTGAGCTTTTGTAAATATTTATTTATCAGCATGTATAAC